CCCTAATCCGCATTTACGGATTCCTGTTTCTGGCTTCGGTGGTTAAAAAGCATAGGATTCCCTGCTCAGTCTTCGCAGGCTGAAGGGATCTGGGGTTTCGGATGCACGGACCGCATGGAAACAGGTTTAGGGTTTAGGGTAGGGTCATTAAATCCTAAACTCTTTGGAAGGCCCCTAGAGCTCCAGTTGCCGAAGGAATGGGCTACTGGGTTACGTGTTATACGTATGGTTAATAACCTGAACCCTAAGCCGGAGTCGCGAGAGTCTAAACTCCCTAAACCCTAAGGACTCCCTGAGTCCGAGTTGCGAGAGCGTAAACTCCCTGAGCCCGCAACCCTAAACCCGAAAGGTAACTGGAGCCCTGGGGCTAGGCTAGGGTTTCTCCTTCAAAGGTGTTGGCGGTTTCTTCAACTTTTGGGCTCCAATGTCGGTGCTTTGGGTGGGTTTCTAGCTTTTTGTTCAAGGCTTACGACTTAGGGCAGTTTGGGGTTCTATGTCAGGGCCCCCTCTGTTCTGAAAATGCTGGGGGCGGTTCTGAAAGACCTGGCAAGGATCCGTGGGCACCTTTCATCGTCAACTCGTTGCGGCCTGGCTTTATCAGGGCTGATTCGGATTGAGGGTCGAAGGTTTGGTGCCCAGGAAAAGTGACCATGGTCCCTTTATCACTGTATGTATTCTAGACTACTTCCTTGAAGTACTCAGGCCTCACATTGGTTGCGATAAGTGACTCAGCCTGACTAAGCTCTGAGAGACTGCCTGTTGCTCCTCGGCGTGCCCAAACCTAAGCCAATCAGATTTGTCGTTGAGTTGTCTTCGGCATACGGACCATGAGTACATGTTGTCTTGCAGTTCGGGCGCCTGGAGCATATGTCCTGGTGCTTGAGTATGATCTAATGATGGCTGCACGATGTGTTGAGGGCGACCTGTGTGGCATTCGGGTTATGGGGGCCAACTTGCTACCTCTTGGATCAAGAAAACCCGTACTCACAGGCATAAACGGTCGCGACAGTGATTCATGATGTCATGCAAAGTTGCCGATATCCTCGTTCTTGCCAAGGACAGCCAAAGAGCTATATCAGCGAGATCGACGCCTGGGCCGGAGATACGATGTACTCGTAAATGCAGGGGCGATCTTGTTCTTCTGGGTCAGGATTGCTATGGATGGTTGTATGCCCACTACCTTCAACCCTTTATCGATCTTTAAGACATAGTAGATGGAAGCTAAAGCCAACCTTGTTATGTAAAACATCGAAAGCTGTTTCAAACACCAAGCCTCACGACCTTCGAGCTCTTGCTCTTGCCGAGGGCAGTATCTGGTTCGCGACGGCAAGGCGACGTGGCTAGTATGGGATTGAGGGTTTTGGGTTTAGGGGTTCCGCAGCAAAAAACCCAAAACTTTAAACAGAAAAACTAGCTCTCGACTCGATCCTGTTTCAAACCCCGAGCCGCGGAAGGAGGGCTAGTTTACTTAGGGTTTAGGGTCTGCGGCTCAGGCCTTAAAAAGTTGAGGGTTTGCAAATCTCACACCAAGCCTTCTGTCAGACAAGAGAGCCCTAAACCCTAAACCCTAAACCCTAGAGCATTGGAGACCGAGACGACGCAGCCCCGAGAGTGAGGTTTTGGAGATTGAACTGTTGTTGCTCGTGGCAGCACTATGAGAATTTATCTTGTTGTTTAAAGTTTAAACCCTAAGTAAGTATACCCTCAACCGGAACTCGTATAATTTAGTATTATTGTGGTCATGACCCCCTATCGATCTAATGACACCTGGCTGCCAGCAAAACACACTTTCCTGGTCTAGTGGTGTCTGTGCCGGAATATCAAAAAACACCCTAAACCCTGAACCCGGGTGAGTCTGTCCTGGGTGCTGAGTTATCATACCATGTGATGGCCACTTCACATGGTGACATGTGAGCAGGCTGTTTCACTAGTTGAGGGTCGAGATGGCCAGCACTCCTTCGGATCCACAGAAAGGGTGCACATCAACTTAAAAAAACGACCTAGGCGGTGGGCCAAACGAGCTCTCCTTTACACAATGGCTTGGGGGAGCCCCAGTTTTGCACCCAAAAACAATTGGGGCTTTTAGGGTTTAGGGTTTAGGGAATGAAATCCGATATCTGGAGTAAGGTGGTCGTAGTCGACGAATTCACTGGGCGACCAGTTGAGGGCCGCAGCTGGAGTGACGGTTTGCAGCAGGCGTGGCGTGCAGTTTTGGGGGTCTCTATTTCGGGATCCGGACCTCAACCTGGACTGGTGTCTAGGGTTCAGTCTTGGGAGCGTTGGCTAAAGCATCTGCCTTGAAGATGACCCTAAATACCTGCACGACGGGAAGTAATGCGCAGCTTGGCCTTGCTTTTGGCTCTGTACGACGTCTACACACACTGTGTCAGGGTGTAGACTTCGAAGTGTGACCTGACGAAGCAGTTGGAGCTGTGTGAGCTGTTGCCGGCTTCGGTCGCGAAGTTGACTCTCGTGAAAAGTTCTGAGCAAGCCTTCGTCGCTGGCAGTAGACAGTGCAAGCAAGGTAGGCAGCGCAAATGCTCAAGCAAGTGCTCAACAACTCCCTGATGGAACCTGCGGCATTCTTTGCACACCTTAAACCCTAAACCCTAAACCCTAAACCGCATGGTCCAGGCAATTGAAGCGAAGGAGGGCGTCGAGATTCAGCCCGAGGCTTTCGCGTTACAACCCGGAGACTTTACCCGGAACGGCCTGAACCGGTTTAGCAGGGTTTAGGGTTTAGGGTTTAGGCTTCGGGTTTAGGGGTTTAGGGAGTTACATTCGGGTTTAGGGGTTTAGGGAGTTACATTCGGGTTTAGGGGTTCAGGGAGTTACATTCGGGTTTAGGGGTTCAGGGAGTTACAAAAGGGTTTAGGAAACTGTGAACCGAGCCCATACAGCCGTGAGTCTTACTTGGATCACTCGAGCCCTACTAGCATCTCCTCATAGTTCTTTTTCAAGTAAGCTATACAAGACAATACCCCGAAACCCTCTTCTAAGGTCCCCAAAGTAACCATCGTCTTTAAGGTGGCTGTGATCTTGAGGGTTTGTGGCTTTCAGGGTCTGGGACATGACATGCCAGCAATTGGCCGGAGCTTTAAGCTTGTGTAGTTATGGCCTCTAGATGTCTGTAGAGTGTAGAGAAGAGAAACAGTAAGGTTGGCAAAGCTACGCTCCCCGAAAATATCTCATTTGTTCCCGTCTTCTCACGCCCTGCGCTGAAACCCGGTTTAGGGTTTAGGGTTTAGGGGTTCGGGTACTTTTCGAACAGCAGATCATCGCGGAGAAGTAGAGTTGGCATCGTAAAGCAATGCCTAGCTTCTTCACGTGGAAAGGCCAAGCGGAAACAGAACAGCAAGAGCGACAGCAGCATTAACTTTCATTAACAGCGACAGAGAGCCCTAAATGATAAACCCTAAACCCTAAATCCCTGATCAGTGAAACCTACTGTGAGTTCTCTTGTCTCCACTTCTGACCAGTATCGCCACAGACCTTGCCAGGCTTTGTCCGAGTGTCAGTGTCAAAAACCCTAAACCCTAAACCCTAAAGCCTTGCTCTTCTACTCTCCCGACCTTTGCAATGCCTGCGACGGGCACCATACCACGGTGTTTGGACATGTGGGTAGTTCTTCAAACGAAGGTCCCTTTTTAGGTACCAGATATAGTACGACCCGCTTATAAACAGGATCCTTGAAAGGGACCCTAATTTGGAGAACTACTACCCATGTGGGCCCTGGTGGTTGGCACCTTCCGAAGTAAGTAGGTTGAGAAGTAGCTTTCTACTCTTACTACAGTTCAAAATAGTACAAACCAAAGTGGCTGTTGAACTACCGTTGATGATATAAATAAATCCTGTATGACCTTAAGGACCCTGAACTATGGGAACAATGGTATATTCATGATCTTGGGTAATGCAGGATTATATCATCAACTGTAGTTGTTTTATTTTGGGTTCAAGGGGCTTACAGTTTCGAGGTTGATGTACAAGCGTTCCCACCCAAGAAGTCCCCAGCTTCGGAACCTACCTGAGACCCCAAACCCAAAACGCCCTGAGCCGAAGAGAAATGCACCCTACACCCTGAGCCCTAAATCCGACCTCCCCAGAGGCTGTGGTGCTTGCGTCCATCTCCTATCAGTGCCTCTTCCGTTTGTTCAAGAAGCTCTCAGGCTGGTGTTTAGGGTCTCGAAGCCTAAATAATTGCCAATCTTATTCCTTAGGGTTCCTTATTAGAACAATGCTACATGAAGGAGCCCCAAACCCTGTTCTAATTATGAAGGCCCCAACAGGAGGGAGGGCTTGAAACGACGGGCATGAGTTCCAAGGGTTTCGAGGGTTCGTCTCTGCTTGGGCACACGTTCTGGGTAGAGGGAGCCCCCGAACAACGAGGCAAGCCTGCTGCAAAAGGGTGCAATATAGAAGCCTTAATTAGGGTTTAGGGTTTAGGGTTTAGGCCTAGGCTTTGGGGGAGCCTAAATGTATTACCAATACTCTTCTGGGGGTTCCCTATTCGAATTATACTAGAATGCGCCGCAAAACCCTTTTCTAATTGGTATTGCCCCTAAACCCTAAACCCTTATAGTAGCAGCCCTTAGAGAACCCTTTAAGGAACCCCTTTTTAAAAGAGGCCCAAAACCCTATTCTAAATATTAAAAAGTATTAATGCCCCTATATTAGGGAGGTCTCCCCTGGCTCCGTTCCCGGAGCCCCGGGCCTCTGAACCTCGAAGACATGCATGGCCCAGGTGCAAAGGGGTATAGGGTTTACGGTGTAGGGTTTACCTAAACTAAATCGAAGCCCCGGGCCCTATAGGCCTTAAAATCGATCAGCCTTACAGAGAACAATCCCCCAAAATGCCCCAAACCCGTAAATCCTAAACCCTGAAAGGGATGACCGGAACAGCCTCCACCGAAGCTCAAGAGCTGGAGTCCATCTACAACCTCACGGTGCCTTGGAAAGCTGGGATTCGGGTTTCGGGTTTTGGGGCTTTAGGCTTTGGTGGTGCCGTTTTGCATGAGAGATGCTACGGGCCCCGGCTTCATGTTTGAGCTCAGGGTCAAGCTCACGCGAGTTAATCTTGTCCTCCGCCTTAGTCTCGAGTTTCGCGCGTTCAGGGTTTGAGACTTCCAGCATCCTTCACACCGCTAAACCTTAAACCCTAAGCCCTAAACCCCTAAACCCTAAACCTTAAACCCTAAACCCTAACTTAAGCCCGAAGCCCCTAAGCCCTTTGTGCAGGTGAGCCCCGTGCCCTCCAACAAGCCATGCCAGCGCTTAGATGAGGAAGACGAGGTCGGGATTTCGGGTTTTCAGGAGCTGACAATCAGGGTTTGGGGTTTAGGGTTTTGGGCCGGGGGTTTAGAGTTTAGGGGTCAGGGTTTTGGGTTTAGGGTTTTGGGGGTTCAGAGTTTAGGGGTGAGGGTTTAGGGTTTAGGGGAGTAGGTATTCAGGATTTCCAACACTACCAGTCCACGGGTTCCAGGTCAGGTCAGCATGAAACATCGCTCAAACACCCACTGCTCTCACGAAGCTGCAACAAAGCAAAGCGCAACCCTAAGCCCTATTAAACCCTGAACCCTACACCCTAGACCCTCTTGCGTATTAAACCCTATAAACCCCATAAACCCTAACACCCTAAACCCTAAACCCCTTGGTTTAGGCACAAAAAAGCGGGAACCCAGAACCTGCGCAGTGAGAGGTTTACACCACCGAAGGTGGGAAGTGGAGAGCCGTCACAGCGGCCGCCTGCGAGGCAGATCAGGGTTTGGGGTTTAGGGTTTAGGAGTTTAGGGGTTTAGGGTTCAGGGTTTTGGGTTCAGGGTTTAGGGGTTCAGGGTTTTGGGTTTTCTGGTCATCACAGAACCTTGCACGAGCTAACCGCGGACAAGTTAGGCCGTACTGGTCACTGTCCCTTAAGTTTGGCTGACAAGATGATCAGCCTCGAACTCCAAAGCCTAACATGTCTGCGCCCTAAACCGTAGAAGGGTTTAGGGTCTAAACACCTCTGCCCCTCTGCCTGATGCCCAAACCGTAGACCCTAAACCCTAAACCCCCTTACTTGGCAGGTTTCAATGCGATCACAGCTGCATCAAAGCGAAGGTCGAACACCTAGACCTCGGCCCCTTTTAAGGTCCTTGAAGAAAGGGTGCCGTAGGATTAAGGGGACCCCTCAGACAACTTCCTACAGACTCCCAGAACCAAGAGATCCTAAAATCCTTCAAAAAGCGTCAGTTCCTAAAGCCCATCTCTTGTGTTGCCGCAGAAAATCTCGAATTGCATCCTGAACGCCTACCAAGAGCTACTTCTTTCTAGAGTTCCTATAACTTCCGTCTTCAGGCTTCTAATAAGAGCCCACAGAATGAGTAGGGTCCGGTAATAAGAGCCTGGCCCGCAGCATGAGTAGGGTATGGTAGTTTTTTGAGGTAATCCATAATGGCCCATGGCAACCTTCTGATGCCAGAGGCGCATCGTCTCGGACGACCCGTGCTCGTTGGAACCACAAGCGTCGAGATGCTTGGCATTGCTTAGGGTTTAAGGTTTGATGTAGGCTCCTTGGGGTGGAGTGTTGTTGAGAGAGAGAGAGAGAGAGATATGTATATATATATANNAGGGGGGGGGGGGGGGGCTGTAGGGTTGGAGATAGGGGTTGAAGGGGTTTTCGGGCTGAAGGGTTTAGGATTCGGGTTGAGCATGTATGTCGGCGGTCATGAGCACCGTTGACGTGAACTGCTTGATTCAGTCGCCGTTCTTCGAGGGGCGAATCTGTGGGGGTTACCCGATGCTGAGGGTTTAGACTCGGCCCAATGAACCCTAAACCCTAAAGCCCAATGACCCTGAAGCCTACAAGCCTACAAGCCTAGAAGTAAACGCAGCCCGATTTCCTCAGTTCGGCTTAGTTCGGCCCCGAGTAGGTTCAGCATTGTTTGAGGCCACAGCCCACCTTAATCCTCACACCCGACTGAAGCTAAGATGCAGGTGTTGGGGACTGGGATTCACAAGAGATCTTGGAAAAATGTAGGCAGAAGGGCTGCGGCTTCAAAACATGTCAGAAGCCCCATGGGCTGCTCCACGACACCGCAAGTGAGACTGCTGCTCAGGCACAACTGCATGCCGTTTAGTTTCGTTCCTGTTGTTCTAGAGATTTGGTCCCTGTGTCCTTAAAGTAGAGGCTACAGCCACATTGGATAAAAGGGCACTATCACTTCTCAACGAAAAACCCTAAACCCTAAACCCATTGAATATCCACGGACTGTTGCAGAAACCTAGGGACAAACTATCGGATCGCTGCCAAAGCAGCCGAAATCCCATGGGAAGGGTTGTAGGGTCCATGCCCCTAAACCCTAAGCCTGAGCCCCAAACCCTAAATCCTAAACCTACGCCCTTACAAACCCTAGGGTTTAGGGATAAGGGTTCCTAAGTCCTAAACCTTAAACCCTACACCCTAAACCCTAAACCCTAAGTCCTAAACCTAAGCCTCGTGGAGTCCGCTTTGTCCACTCGTCCCGGCCTTGATGTGCAGAGCATATGGACGACGGGGAGCCGACGCCGACACACATCATTGACTTTAAGCTTCCATTGCACAGTATCTCAGTAGCTGAGTGGATACCTGTTTTACACTTTTTTTGGGATAATATTACCTACTATAAAAACTGAAAGTGTACACTTTTCTGGGCTTATGAACTCAGCATCTCAGGTGAGGATCATTACCTTGAGGGCCAACATGTGGATAGCCCAGCCACCACCTTGTGGAACTACTGCGTGCTTCTGAAGGTCTATCCTCGAGGCTTTGGCTTTACGTCCCAGGGGCCAGGCGTTGCTACCAAGCTGGTATTCGTGCCGATCTACACAGATTCCGAGGACACACTTAACAGCGCCTTGTCCGGAAAGACAGATGAACTCACGATCGGAGATGTGCGATTCTGCTTGACGGTTAGATATGCCGGCCAAACCGAGACTCGGAAAGGTAGCCCTCACCGGCTTCGATGTGGCAAGTGCAACGAGTGCTTTACTCTCAAGCATGCAGTTTGCAAGTCAGAAGCTTTGCTGGTACCGCCGAAATATGTGCCTGGCGAGTACTTGCACTGTTTAGTGGAGTGTCTTGGCTGGTTGAGGCAGTTGTGAGGAGCATTTTGATGATCGCCTATGCATTGGAACTACCATATGCCGACTTACTAAAGCCGATCTAAACCCAAAACCCCCTTGCAGAAAATCCCTACATCCTTATTCACACCAAACCCATAGATGCCAGACATGTAGGATTTAGGAGGTTAAGGTTCGGAGGTTTATACAGGGGATCGCAGGTTTAGGATCTGTCGGTTTGGGGGATTTCGGGCTTAGGGATGAGGTCGCAGCTATAGACAATTTCCAGGCTCTGGTTCGACCCCAAGAACTTGGGATACGAGCCCAGCAAGCGTCGCCGCCTAGACTATGGGAAAGACCTGTGGCGAGACATGAAGCTTCTCGGCAGGACAGCACCAGACTTGTTGGGTGAAGCGCTGCAGAAGTACCGAAGTTTCACGAAGGTTCCCAAACCCTGTGCCCTAAAAACCCTACATGGCTAGGGCTTCAAACCCTATCTCCAACACCCTAAAATCCAAAAACCCTAAGCCCTAAACCCACTGCCCAAAACCGGCTGGAAGTGGAAACTCAGGTTCACGGACATGACGATGCGAGCTGGAGACGAGGGAGAAGACCTCCCTTGCCATCGAGCCGTGCTGGCCAGGAGTTCAGAGGTCTTCGACCGCATGCTCAGCTCTCAGATGAAGGCCTTCATGCTTCAGGGTTTTAGGGTTCAGGGTTTTTAGAAGGCCGGAGGCCTTCATGTTTCAGGTGTGTTTGGGGTTCAGAGTTTTTAGATTAGAGCATAGGGCGTTTGGGGCTGGGGGTGTTAGGGCTTCGGGTTCCCTTTCCTGGGTTTCTGGCGATTAAAGGCCTGAGGGCAGGACCCATTAAGACACCAGCTTTCCCTAGTTCGACGTTACTTGTGAGGGAGCTGGGTCGACGACGACGACCACGTCTCCTACTTTGATCATGACTTCTATATGGGAGTTTCCGAAAATAAGGGGTACCTTGTTTTGGGGTCCTTATCATAAGGATCTTATTATTTAGGGTACTATATTAGGGTCCCCTATTTTCGGAAACCCCCATATACTGTATCACGGAGCACTCGTGGGTCCATCCTGGTCCTAGCCATGATGATCGTGCTGGTGGTGGTGACGGCGACGATTGTTGGTGATGGCAGTCCGGAAACCTGTTCCTTATCGCTCTCCTGGGTTGCCCAGCTAGCTGAAATAGAGACGGGTGATGCGAGTGACAATGTATGGCAAGGGCCTACAAATAGCAGAAATAACTACAGCAGCCGGAACGCTGGTGCCGACAGGAAATATCCCGCTGACTTATATGTACTGCAAACTTGCCGTTGACAATTTGTGGCACTTGAGAGGAGGGTTCGGAGCATCGCGTCGTCATCCGCAACGCGGCTTCAGGAACTCTGAACAAGCTGCTGTGTTGCATTTCAGCCTACAGCTTCTTCAGGTGGGTAGTTCTCTAAATTATGGGTCCCTTGTGGGGTCCTTGTCAGTCAGAAGGGTGCCGTACTATATTGGGGACCTGAAAAAGGACCTTAATTTAGGGTCCATCGCCCTCGTTTGCCCCAGTTTGCTTGCTAACAATGTGCGAAAAGCACGGCAGGATCGGCACTTTCGGCTCTTAGCATGGCTTAACATGGCGTCCAAATTATGATGATATGCGGAACCAAAAACGCCAAAAACCCGATGTTTCTGCGCGGCCGGGTTTGTGATTTTGAGGACTGAACTGTATCGGCTTGACT